GTCGAACAAAGAATATTGTTCATCATAAGCAGGAATCAATTGTGCCTCATCCTAAGATGGTGAAGGAAATTTGTCTGCAACACAAACGCAGTTCCAAATTTATGGAAAACACAGATCCCCGTGCTAGAAGAGTTCAAGTGAAACTTAGGAATTTGTTGAGCATTTATTGATGTGTTATTTTACCTATAGAATCTTTGTCCCACAAAAAATATTATACAAATTTGTATCAGGAAATTTAGGGGTGTGTATTTTGCACCATGATCTATATCTAAGAATATGGGACTCCTTTGCCTTGTTCACAAACATTTTCAATGATAGAAAAAGATGACCATTGTATATATTTTTCTTATTGCAAGTTCTTGTCTTCATTATTCAAAATGAGAAACAATAGGTTTTCTCTGTCTTTGTAAGAAAAGAGCATAAAAATGCCTATTTTGATGAAACCCAAGAACTATATGCTAATGAAATGTCAAGATTTCATATAGGAATCCCATCATATGAAACAATGGACAGCATCCAAAGCAGGAAGTTATTGACATGCTTGATGCTCAAGAACAAGACACAGAAACCAGAACAAGAGGAGAGTGGAGTTTGAGCCACTAGCCCAGTGGTGGCGAACCTATGGCACGCATGCCAGAGGCGGCACTCAGAGCCCTCTCTGTGGGCATGTGTGCCATGCAGCAGAGATGGCGAGGGACTGGATCCTGCCACCCTGGCCCCTCCGACCCAGTCTGCCATGACCACCGCAGCCACACCCACCCGGCACCCAGTGATAAATAAGTGGGTTTTGGATTGCAGTTTGGGCACTGGGTCTCTAAAAGTTTCGCCATCACTGCACTAGCCCATCCCTTAGTCAAGGACAATGAGATTGTACCACCTAAAGGCTTATACTGCCAGACAGAGCAGATGAGACGCTAATTCCTTTCATATGACATGGAAGGGACCATAGAAACATGCACAAGCATATTTGCACATACACACACACAAACAAATACACAGAGAAATAATACATGTGGCTATAAACTGGTAGAAAAAAGGACTAAATCTCTTTACAAAGTTCCCAATAGGGGATGGTATCTACTGGATGTAGATGGTCTTCTGTATTAAATGGGTTGCAGAATGGACATCAAATGCCATAAACATACAGTAGATGTCATCAAAGAACATTTCCAATAGAATGATATTGAGAATAAAATCTTTCCATGTGTCATGAACAGAGAACTTTTGATAATATTTTATAATGGTTCAGGTAATCCTTGCTTTTATAAATATTTTATAATGGTACAGGCAGTCCTCACTTACCAACTGCCTCACTGCACAACAGTTAAAAGGGTTAGGGGAAAATGGCTTTGCAAACAATCTTTGCATTTTACAATTGTTACAGCATCAAAGAGTCACATGTTTAACATTCATTTGCTAAACAAATGGCTTCCGACAAACACCATTAATGGAGGACAAGGAAATGGAATTGCAAGTAATGATCATATGATATCTTATTTAATAATCTCAGTGATTCATTTAATGACAGAAGTGGAAATGAAGTTATAAGTTCAGCAAGGTCATGTGACGGACTACAGCCTTTATTAACAGAGTTGCTGATCCCAATTGTGGTCAATAGACAAGGACCACCTGTATGAGCAATGTGAAAATGAACTTATAATCAAGTATTCAATGGAACTTATATTTTTTCCAACCTGGAGCAAGCATGCATTACAGTTATAAATAGATGTAACTTTGTCTTATTTTAGGGCTCATGAATATTTGCTAGGTTTCCTGGTCTGCAGTATATGACTTCATTTGTTTTAATAAAATTTGTGCTTATCATATAGCAGGATATCCTAAAAATTAATTTCAAGAATTTTCAATATTTAACATGTATTAAACCTCATAAGCAATTTTTAGAAAATAAAAACAGTGGGTGATGGGGGATGCCATGGGAGATACCCTGGAGAATCCCATGTGTTGAGACTAGTACCTGCTAATTGCTAATTATGTTAAACATCCAGACACTTGTTATAATATTTTGTTAATTTTGTTTGTATGGTCTAAAGGGAAACAAAATGATTGCAAATCTAAAGTCAACTTATTATTGACCTAGCCAAATGTAAACTCAAAGTTATCCACTGATACATCATTTTCATAGCTGAACAATTTGTATAGCATTTCTGCATTACTAGACAATAATTCTGTGAAGAAAAATAGTAAGTGATGAATTTTCTGGTTGAACTGCAAAAACAAATTCTGCTTTCTAGGGAAAATTGGCACTTTTTACATATCCATGACTTGGCTCTGTTTTAGAATCACTTCTATATTTTTGACATTGGGGTAAGGATTTTAAAAAATGAAATTAGACCCTAGTTCTTTGCTATAATAGAAACACCTTTAGGGTTGAAAGGACAACAAAGGTTTGTTCTCAGAAATTTACAACGTAAAAGATAAGTTAAAGAGTATGATGAACAAAATAATGGGAATCTACAGCAGCAGAGGTAGTAGTCTATAACCTTCCTAAATAATGAAACAAATTTATGTTTCATATAATGGTATATTTTCTCTACGTAGATACTGAATATTAAAAAGAGATATTTTACAATTTGCACAAATTTAAATACTCTGGTTGAACTGACTACTAATTGCTGAATTAGCATCCATAACATCATTTCTAGATCCATCTTCACTTATGAGATAATATTTGTTTTCAATTCTAGTTAAAAACCTGATTCACTTTGTTCAAATTCATTAATATGGTAACATGTATTCATTTTATATTAGTGCAAAAACAATAGAAGAAACAAATCCCTCCTTGTTATTCTTTATTATTATTTGATGAGAATATTCAAATATGATTTGTTTTAAAATTTAGCTAATCATAAAATGTACCTCCAGTCCTACATTTATCAGTCAGTGGAACGATCCATTTAAACACACCATTAAGGTGGCACATTTCCTATTATGCTAAAGTAAGATATACTTTATGATAAAAGTAGAAATGATAACTAAGAATGTTTTAAAGGACAGTTATGAAGCTTGAAGGTCAGTGTTAGAAGATTTCCCCAACAATTGGAAAGGAAGGAAGATAGTGGGTCCCTATCAGTAACTACTTTGTCAGTGGTCTTTTGCTGGGTTTCCTTAATGCATTTCTTGCCTTTCTCAAACGATGGTTCTCTTAAAGCTAAAGATTAAGACCAGTATGAAAGGTTGGTTGATTTTGAATCTAGCTGATCAACTGAAGCCACTGCGCTCTTCCAGGCTATGAAACCCAACTCAGCCTCCTTCCAGCAGTCATAAAAGCTGTACATGCAAAGTCCAGGAAAGCAACATAGTGGACACTTGTGTTCAAGTTATGTAAAGCCCAATCATCTCCTTGGGCTGGTCCACAAGTCCAGCTCACTGGAAAAACAGAGTTGGCCTTTGTCACCATCAAGATTACACTGGTTGGGCTCTTTCAGTTGGGGGGCAAAGTGTCTGATATCAGAGGCTCAATGAGGTTTCTCTCAGGTAGAATAAAAATTGTTCAGTGAGGAGGAGGCTCAGGTCTGGCTGTCCTTCTTTGCATAACTTCTGAGTAACTTCAGGTAAGAGGAAAGGAAGAGAGAAGGAAAAGGTAGCAGAGGCCAGCAAAAAAAAAAAAAAGTCTTGTGGAAGAGCAAAAGTTAAAAATTATGACTGGAAAGAATTCCTAATTTTGACAACTTTACCAATTACAGTTATTATTTTGCTACATCTGCCATTGGGTCAACAAGACATAGCAATTAGGAATGCCAATGGGAAAGGTTAACATACGGTTGTCATCTTAGTTTGAAATTATTATTCTTGGTTCTTTTTAATATTAATTTTCTTTTCCATGGCTATTAGAATAACAATACAAATGGTTTCACTAAAAAGATTATTGAAGTCAACCCATGTTTCTTATTTTTTTTCTATACCATAGGATTTCAGTTCTTGATGAAAAAGTGAATGAACCTTTTTCAACTTTTTGACTTCACCATAAGGTTAAGTTGAGCCAAATTGAATAAATAGCAATATCACTTAGACATACAGTATATAGCACTCTCTGGGTTGTTTACATTGTCAGCATATTGCCCCCAACAATCTGCATTCTCATTTTACTGACCTTGGAAGGATGGAAGGCTGAGTCAACCTTGTGCTCTGTCAGGATCAAACTCCAGGCTGCAGAGTTTGCCTGCAATATTGCATTCTAACCGTTGCACCACCAGTGTAAATTATGCAATGAACAATTTAAGTAACGTTCTAATGTTTCTTCCTTAAGCATTGTAATCTTATTTTTCAACCCAAAATCTCCCAGAGGATGTTACAAAAAATTATTCCTTTCTTTGTGCTTGTGTATATGTTATACACACTCAGTGATTAGACAGTATCTGCAGCCAAGCACTACATCTATACTTTACCTTTATGAGTTTATATGGTAGTTTATGATACTGAGTTGATGTGATACTACTTCATCCTCCTATTTCTCCCACAACAGCAATCCTGAGAGCTGGGTTGGGTTGAGAGTTAGTGATTGCCCCAAAGACACCCAATTTTTCATGCCTACAACATGACAAGAATTCATAGTCTCCTCATTGCAGGCTAAACCAAACTGGCACTCCTCTTCTAATGGTTTTTTTTTTTTTACCAACAACCAAATCCTATAAAAATGTTATGAAATTGACCAATGTAAATTTTCCCAGATTTCTTCTATGCTAAAAAAAAAATGTCTTGGAAGGCATTTTCAAATTTTAACCATAATAACAATGAAAATAATTGTGTTGGAAGAGGGGAAGAAAAAGAAGAAGGGTTTTTGGTTGGTAATTTCATCAATTATTAATTCAGAAATATGGGGAATTGGACATTGGCATTTTTTAATATTGTAGTTCTCTTTTAATTGTTGTCATATTATTCTTATTATTTTTTCTGTTCCCAGTAAGTATCAAGTCGTAACTTCACTATTCTCACTTTTGATTCCTTACATATGTGACATTCATCTTAGCCCCAACTTAAATATGGAGAATCAAACAATTGTGTCTTACTTTCTGCTCATGGAATTTTCCAAAGATCGGCACCTGCAGCTTCTACATTTCTTCTTATTCTTCATAGTATACCTGGCAACTGCAACAGCAAATCTTTTCATCATCTTTGTAGTAGCTTTTGACCATCAACTACAAAGCCCCATGTACTTCTTCCTGATGAATTTGGCTGTGCAGGACTTGGGCATTGTTTCAGTCATCATCCCCAAATCCATGATAAATTCCCTCATGGACACCAGATGCATCTCTTACTTTGGTTGCTTTGCACAAGTCTTGATCTTTGTTTGCTTTGAAGCTTCTGAATTTTTCCTCTTGACAGTGATGGCATATGATCGGTATGTTGCCATTTGCCATCCATTGCACTATGGAATGGTGATGAATTGGAAAGCCTGCACCAAAATTGTGATTTTGGTGTGGGTCACAAGTGTTCTCTATGCAATGTTGCATAGCAGTGGCACTTTTTCCACTCCTTTCTGTTCTAATGTTGTCAATCAGTTTTTCTGTGAAATTCCACAATTGCTAAAGTTATCATGTTCTGGATTCAGTTTAATTGAAGCTGGAATTATATTTCTGAGTATCACTGCAATATTGGGGTGTTTTATTTTTATCATTATCTCTTATACTTTAATCTTCAAGGTAGTGTTGAGAATCCCTTCTGTGAAAGGAAGACAGAAGACCTTTTCCACTTGTCTTCCCCACCTTACAGTTGTTTTCATTTTTTTGGTACCTGCATGCTTAACATATCTGAAACCCCCCTCTAACATTCCAACTTACTTAGATTTTGCATTAACCACACTATATTCTTTACTTCCACCCCTGTTCAATCCAATCATCTATAGCATAAGAAATAAGAATATCAACTCTATTCTAACTAAATTATGGAGATTCTGATATTATCATTTGATATTATTTTTCTCTTTTATTTTTCTTCCAACTTTCCAATTTTATAAGGAAAGGAAAGAGTTTTCAAAGCAGAAACAGCTGATTGAAGTAGAGCCTTGCTGTTCTGGACGAATGGTAACCAGGGATTTTTTTGTCATAGAACGCCCAGAACAGAGTTCCGGCACCTTTTTGGGATGGAACCTTGTAGGATAGGCAAGGCGGGGTGTATGACGTGTGAGTTCCAGCACCTTTTTTTTTTTTTTTTTTACAAAATAGCACTGATGGTAACACTTGACAAAGTGATGACCTACAATTATTGGCCCTGCTTTTCAGGACACTATGAGTTGCCTTAGTAGTATCCTGAGTCCCACAGTTTCAGAATTGCAATGCCTGGATATCTGTCATGATTCCAACAGATGAAACTTTTCAAAGAACTTCGAGGCATTGTTTACCTTAAAGAATCTTTATTAGAGAAGCATAGCATCAGCACTAACATAATCAAAGCCAAAAACTAGATTCTCCTCCCCTGAGCACATAATATCAAAGCACAATTCCTTCCCCCAATTAACAGTCATAAATCATATTCTCCAATTAGTTTGAAATGCAGGCTTTCCCTCAATTCTCCATCCTGCCAATTCTTATCATCTCTTATTTTAATAACCTTGGTTCACACACTAGGTCCAATATTGTTATGTCTAGCTAAACTCTCATGCACATTCCTCCCCCCAGCATCATCTAACTCTAACTCTAAAAGTAAAACATAAGAAGAAAATGGTTGCATCTCCAACTGTTGTCAAAGCAAAAACATCTGATGTTAGCAGAGTTGACAATCAAGGTGATGAACTGACTTCCCCCCAACTAATTGCAGTCTACTTTGAATAATTAAGATTGAACTCTTGTTTCTGCTGAATAAAAGCATTCTTCTATTAGTGAATAAAACAAATTAGACATTATCTTTGTGCAAATGACCATAAAGAGTTGTCTCCATGAATACCCAGAATATTTTAATATTTAAAAAAAGAAATTTGTAATGAAATGTATTGCTGGGACTGGTTTTATATACTACATTAACCAAAAATTCATTTAAGAATTAATTATTGAGGAAGCCACAATATTCTCCTATCAGTGTGCTGTTGTAGCATCAATCATGTTTATACAAACTATATATTAACTGCATTCACACAATTTACAAGTCAAAGTCAAAGAAACCATATGAATTAGCAAGATATTTTAGCAAGGCCATAATCTTTTGGAAACAACTTTCCTACTGAAATTATCCCAGATACTGAAATATGAGTGTCATGTTCTTGAATGTTAGGATTCAGCTCTTATTAGAATTGAAGAGGGGCATGGTTAGATTTGCTCAAATGCCTGGCTAAAAGCCTGTTATCAAACTCAAGGTATGTTACATCTTATCCTGATAGACAAATACTACTCCTCTTGAAAACCAATCAATTAGAATAGATTGATTCTAATAGATTGAAAACATCAAGTAAAAAACAAATTACAAAACTTGGGATTTTCAAGCAAAATACTATAGGATTCTCAAGACCTTCCAGTCAACTGCAGTAAAGTATCAGTCAGAGCTCCGATAGGTCACATACCTGGATGTAACAATATGATATGAAGTGGCTCAAAGACATAAATAAAACAGAGTGTAAGACAGCAGATAAAATCGCATTAAAACACAATAATTATAAAATTGGTGTGGTTAAGGTACTTTACAAGTAAAGCAAAACCTGGCCTTGTTAAGAGAAACATGGTTTCATTGATTGGATAATAGAAACTATAAGTAAAATGAATTTATATGGGCTGGAAATCTAAGTAGATGGGACAATATCAACTGCAACAGAATTTTTTTGTATTTGGAGTGATAAAAAAGACATGGTTTTTAGAGTTTTAATTTTTTTTCATCACATGGGAAAAGTTCAAATGGAATACCATTTAGATTTCCTGTGAAAACAGCTGTTGGGAAGATATTAAATGGCACTGGAGTTAGGGTTGTCCTGGAATTTGGCAAAATAATATTTGAATTCAATGCCTAACTAGCTTCAAAAAAGTGGATGATTGTCCAAGAACACATTTATGAGCACAGGGTTTTCTGCAGGTTACAAAGCTTTATTGAAAATTAACATCCTTTGCCTTTGTTAATTTATATACACATGTTCATCTCTTCACTCAGGCTTTGCAGCTCAAATTTAGCCAACCATCTGCTGATAGATTTGATATTTGTTGGATTGTGCAATATGTGCTAATAGAGTATTTGCCAAGTTTCCTATGTTGTTGTCCCATATGATTTCAGTCAGAGAAAGAAACAATAAGGGAGGGAGGGAGGGAGGGAGGGAGGGAGGGAGGGAGGGAGGAAGGAAGGAAGGAAGGAAGGAAGGAAGGAAGGAAGGAAATACGATGCTAAAAAAGCAGTTTCTAGAATCACCAATATTTAATATTTAAAAGCAGTTTCTAGAATCACCAATATTTAAACCTCACAAGCATTTTTAGAAAATAAAAATGGTGGACAATGGGAAAACCAAGGAGAACAGGAAGAGGAGGAGTAGCATAAAACAAATTTTTATATGTTTACCTGCTGAGAGTTACACATTAACATAAAAGTGCAGCTTGCTATCATGACCCAAAGTGTTGTGGGCCTAAAGTCTGCTTCATGAGGCAGTTTCATTTTGAATACTATGTAGCATCCTGGCTCTCAGTGATACCAGAAATACTAACATTCCACATTGGGGGCATTCAATTAAATGAAAGAATAACCAGAATTCCTGCCAAAAGAATGTATTTACATTATTCATAACTAAGTAATGGAATTCTTAGCTAGCATTAACTTAGATAGCTTTAAATCAGAGCATGCAGTTGCTTCAAAGCTAGATGTAAAATAGAATCCCAGGTGATGAGATCTAATAGGAGAATCTTTGCACATTATCCATTTGAATATGGAAAACAATATCTGCTAATTGCTAATTATAAAAAATAGATTCTCATTATAACTTTTTGCATGTTTTTATTGTACAGTCTAGAGGGAAACAAAATTATTGCTATTATTATTAAGTAAGCTTGCCAAATATAAACTCAAATTTATCCATACATTTTTTTCAAAACTGAACACAAATTTAGTAGCATCTATGCCTTATTAAACAATAATTCTGTGAAGAAAAAATAGTAAGTGATCGACATACTGATTATTTTACAAAAATGGCAATTTCCTGCTTTCTAGGGCAAATAAGCACTTATTTATGTGTGTTATTTAACTTTGAATTAGAATCGCTTTTATGTTTTCAGCATGGGGGAGCGAATCTGATAAAATAAAATTATAATCTAGTTCTTTGCTATAACTGAAAAATGTTTAGGGGCAGTATGACAATTTAGGGGGAATATAGCATGCATAATATCTAAGGCTGCATACAAAGCAATAATAACCTATAGCAATGATACACATTAGCCATTTTATATACTATATATATTATTAAACAGACTCATGGAGTCCAGAAGTGCAAAATGAAATTGTGATAAATAAAAAATCAATTTTTTTCTGCACTAATATTTGAAACAAATTGTAGAAAGCAATTGGCAATTTATGGGGGAAATAGCACATATAATATGTAAAGCTGCATAAAAGGGACAATGATCTGTAAGAGTGTAATACATTATTCGTTTCATAACAAAGATTAAAAAGATTTAGGGACCAACCTGTTTAATTTACTGGGAGAAAGACATGAAGATTGGAAAGTTACATTTTCAGTTCCATAGATGATTCGATTGATGTTTAGAGAATCAGTGGAACAAGGACTGGAGATCATTAAGTAGCACAAGAAATTTAAAGACAGATAAAAGTACAGAGATCATAGGTGGCAGTAGAATAACAAAATAACAGAACAACAGAATTGGAAGGGATCATGGAGGTCTTCCAGTCTAACTTCTGCTCAAGTAGGAGACCTTCTACCATTTCAGACAAGTGATGGTCCAATCCCTTCTTAAAAATCTCCAATGATGGAGCACCCACAACTTCTGAAAGCAAATAAAACTGAGGGCAATTTAAACAAGTTCAGCTAATGTTCAGACAGAAAGAGAAGCATATTGATTCTTGTTATTAAAAAGAAAGGCAGAATAACGGAAGGTTCTTGCTATAGCAAACAGAAAGATAAATGTATTGATACAGTTTACACACATACGTGCACAAAGTGTATACTTGGAAGGAAGTATATAAATGCAATGAGGGAGTATGGAAGAATGTTTTTCCTTTGCACTTTGTAAACAGAATTCAGAAGTTTGTGGAAAGAAAAGGGAAGGGAATGGAAGGGGAGGAGAGGAGAGGGGAGGGGGAAAGGGATGGGAGGAGAAGAGAAGGGAAATAGTGGATCCCTATAAACAACACATTTGTTTTTAATATTATATTTCTTTCATGTAGCTACTAGAATTACAGTACACAGGTTTCAGTGAATGGGGTATTGAAGGAAACCCATTTTTCTTCAAAGTGGGATCTCTTTTGGAACCAGATATGCCTGCCAGATACCTCCTAAAGCATAAGGGTTTTGGTTCTCAATGAAAAAGGGTACTAATTCTTGCAAACAATTTTCTGAGATTCTTGGCATGATCACAGTGTTCAGACATAGCTTCACTAATTTTATCTTATGGTATTGTACACCTCAGATTCCTTGCAGATGTGTTATTCACTTTAGTCATAACACTGACATGGAGAATCAAACCACTGTGCTTTACTTTCTGCTCCTGGAATTCTCAAAAAATCGGCATCTGCAGCTTCTACATATTTTTTTATTCTTCATATTATACCTGGCAACTGCAACAGCAAATCTTTTCATCATCTCTGCAGTAGCTTTTGACCATCGACTACACAGCCCCATGTACTTCTTCCTGGTGAATTTGGCTGTGCAGGACCTGGGCATTGTTTCAGTCATCATCCCCAAATCCATAATAAATTCCCTCATGGATACCAGACACATTTCTTACTTTGGTTGCTCTGCCCAAATCTTGATCTTTACCTG